GGGCTCGTGCAGGTCTGGGCTGGGCCTCAAGTGGCCGATCCAGCAAAGCCATTGAAGCAAGGGTGTTGTTTGATGGTCTGCTCTTGCCCATAAATCAGAGCCCGGATACTCTGACTGGGAGCCCCCTCAGGCTCTGCCTGTCCATCCCCATTGCCCCCTGTGACCCAGGCACCAGAGAGATTAGTGCCATTCCAGTCATGGGTCGTGGTCATAGCCTGAGAGTCAGGGTAGAATGTTCCAGAGCTTCAAGGGTGTAGACTGAGGGTCCAAATGGCGTCACTCTGAGGACAGGTCTCAGTGGGTTGGGGAGACTGAACTCAGATGGTCCCAGGCCATTCGCCAGGGGCTCCTGTTTCCCCCCACCTACTGGTCACCCAGGCCTGGCATGTGGGTGCTGGAGAACAAGAGAGATGCCCCCCACCCCCCTGTGAGGCATGAAGGCTTCCAGGGTGAAAATGCCAGGGGTTAGTCTGCTGCTGACCACCACCCCCATGCCCAGGCATGAGATGCCCACAAAGGCCCCAGTGAGGAGACTGGGGAGCCTTACAGAGCCTGGGCTTTCCAGACATCACGCGCAAGCTGGTGACATGGCTGCGTGAGCAGGGACTCGGGACCCTGAGGGGCTAGAATGGGCTGGGGGTTGGTGGTGGCTTATTTTCACCCCAACACACGCACCCCTTACCCAGGATGCTCAGAACCCTCTGAACCCTGCAGGCCCTGGGCGGGGTGGCCATCACAAAGGGCCACTCACTGGGAGGCTTCTAAGGACAGAAGTCCATTGTCTGGGGGGTGGGGGTGGTCAGGGGACAGAGATCAGGGTGTCTGGCCCTCCTCTGTCCAGCGGGAAGGCCCTTCCTTGCCCTCTGTCACCCTGGGTTTCCTGTGACCCCTGCTGTGGTGCATGAAGCCCTTCTCTGCCTCCCTGCCCCGCGGCTCTCTCCTCTTGGACAGGGACACCACGCGTGTAGGATTAGAACCCCCCCCGCGGCTCTCTCCTCTTGGACAGGGACATCACGCATGTAGGATTAGAACCCCCCCGCGGCTCTCTCCTCTTGGACAGGGACATCACGCATGTAGGATTAGAACCCGGAGTGGCACAGTGGCTCCAGCACCCTCACTGCGTCCTGTTCATGGGCGTGGGGGGCACACGGGGTGGGGGAACAGAGCCTGCGCCTGCCCCTTGGGGGCCGCCCAGGGCAGTGGACGAGGGACCCCATCGGTAGCTGAGCGCACGCGCCCCCCACAGGCGTGGTCTTGCAGACGTGGGTGCTGAACAGGTACCGGATGGTGCAGCTGGAGCTGATCGACCAGGTGGTCATGTCCTATGGCGGCCTGCGGGGGGCCGTGGCCTACGCCCTGGTGGTGCTCCTGGACGAGAAGAAGGTCAAAGAGAAGAACCTCTTTGTCAGCACCACCATCATCGTGGTCTTCTTCACCGTCATTTTCCAGGTGGGGCTCCACCTTCCTACCCTAGCCCCGTCCCCACCGCCCAGACTTCTGTGCCCTGGCGACGCAGCTCGCACCCCAGGTGGCCCGTCTTCCTACCCTGGCCCCACCCCCACTACCCAGCCTTCCTACCCTGGCCTTGCAGCCCCTTTGTGAGCCCGCCCCCGTGGCCCAGCCTTCCTACACTGGCCCTGCCCAGTGGCCCCGCCTTTCTACCCTGGCCCCACCTCCTCCCCTGTGGTCCCGCCTTCTGTGCCAGGTCCGAGCGGCTGTGGGAAGCAGGGTCGGGCTGCGAGGCGCCGGCCCTAATTGGGTTTTGTAATTTTAGTAACGTTTTGTAGGTTCTCCCGAGGCCCACTGGGGATGCCACACAGCTTGCCCTAGAATGTTCTTCTTGGTGTCGCTGATTAACGAGGCCGGTTAATGTTATACCGCTGTGCCCAGCTTTGTGGGCAGGCCCGGTGCCTTGTAGCCGCGGCTAACTCGGGCCGAGGGGTGTCAGCCTGCCCCTCACCCCCCAAGAGCTGCTGCCACGCTCCCAGGGGCTTCAGGCCTAGCTGCCAGCAGCTGGGGGGTGGGGGAAGGACTCGCACAGTGGGGACATTGCCCAGGGGCCTGAGCAGGTATGAGGGCCCCGTCCCCCAGCCCCCTTGAGCACCCCCCGTGCCCCATCCCCAGGGCCTGACCATCAAGCCCCTGGTGCAGTGGCTGAAGGTGAAGAGGAGCGAGCACCGTGAGCCCAAGCTCAATGAGAAGCTGCACGGCCGGGTGAGGGCTCGGGGCGGGGCCATTGGGGGCGGGGCCCGGGCGGGGCTAGGGGAGGGGAGGGGACCGAGGAAGGAGGAGGATGCTAGGAGATGGGGACCAGGGAAGTGGCTACTGGAGGAGGGGGCAAGGGACAGGTGTATTAGAGGATGGGTTACTGGGGTGGAGGGGACCCCCGAAAAGGGGAGGCGGCCTGTGGGAAGGGATGCAGGGGATAGGGGGTGAGGGAAGTGGGGCGGGAGGGCACTGGGGGAGTGGCAGGGGGTGAAGAGGGAGGAGGGGCAGGAGAATAATGTGGAGAGGAGGGGCAGGCCGAGGATGCGGCTGGTGTCCCAGGCACTAACCAAGCGTCTCCCTCCCAAGGCCTTTGATCACATCCTCTCAGCCATCGAGGACATCTCGGGCCAGATAGGACACAATTACCTCAGAGACAAGTGAGTGGCGTTGCCCACTGGCCTGCCAGCTGCCCCGGGGGACAATGACAGATCTACTTAGTTGTTGGCCCTCCTGCCCTACCACCACCACCACCAGGGACCCCCCACTAAAGGGCTGCTGGTGTCTGGGACAATGACTACTTGTCTGGAGAGACCAAGTGCCACCATCCTGGTTCCTGGGGGGATTCTGACAGTAAAACCAGCTAGAAGACCCCTCGTGCGATGTGGGAGTGGTCCAGCCCTGTGTCCTTGTCCCCATCCCACGTGAGCTCAGGACCCCAGGTGTGCATGAAGGTCAGAGGGGTCTCGCCTACCCTGAGGGCTCCTAGACAGTCAGAGACTCAGGGAGGGGCCCATCCAGTGACCCCCCCCAGGCCATCACCTTGTTTGGGAGTGGACTGTCAGGAAACATCAACATGGTCAGTTGGCCAGCAGCCATCGTCATCCTCCCTCTGTCCCCGAGTTTACATTTTATTTGTAAAACACAGTTGGCCCTTGGGATGCATGTAAATGTGGTCATTGAAAGCCCTCAGTGCCCACAGGGTTGGCTCCACACGGGCAGTCCCAGGTCCCCAGGTGCTGGTTCTATTGCTACGTCTCTCACGATCACAGCTAGCATCAGTCTGCCAAATGTTTGCCTTCGTTAACAAGAAGCTTCAACAGGCTCATGGGAAATTCCCACAATCTCTGACTGCCGCTTCCCCATGAACTTGTGCAGCCCCACGCACAGTGGGCCCTGCCATGAATGAGGCAGGAAACCACTGCACCCTCTTCAGCAAAGTATCACTCACTCACTCACTCACTCCTGCCATGGGGTCAACCTGACTCACAGCAACCCTACAGGACAGGGTCAAACGACCCCTTCGGGTTTCCAGGAGGAACTCTGTATGGGAGTGGAAAGCCTTGCCTTTCTCCCACAGAGCAGCCAGTGGTTTTGAACTGCTGAGCTTGCAGTTAGTCCAAACACCAAAACCAAATTCATTGCCAAGGGGTTATGCCAACTCGCAGCAACCCTATAGGACAGGGAGAAACCTGCCCCTGTGGGTTCCAGGACTTTAACTCTTTACACTCTGCTTGCTGGTGGTTTCCAACTACTGAACCTTGCCGTTAGCAGGCTAATGTGTATCCACTACCCCACCAGGTCTCCTTTTTATACCCCCTGGGGACCCCAAATCACGCCCATGACTGCTCTTAGTGGGGTGGCCACTTCATTGTGGTGGCCCGGAGCCCACAGTGTCACTGTCTTCATAGCCAGGGACTGATTTAATCGTATCTCTGGCTGTGTGGCTTCAGTGAATTGATCTAGGGGTTCCATGCATGACTGGTAGGGTGGACATCTCCCTGGGGCCACTCCTGGGACCTCAGGAAAAGACTCCAAACTCCTTGCTATCAACCAAGCCGGTTCCAGCATGCAGTGGTGGCATAGTGGTTGTGGACTGAGCTGCATGGTTCACAGCTGCTCCTTGGGAGAGACAAGGCTTTCTATTGCTATAAAGAGTTACAGTCTCAGAAACCCATAGGGGCAGTTCTACTCTGCCCTATAGGGTTGCTGTGAGTCAGAATTGGTGTGTGGTGTGTGTGTGTGGTATATGTGGTATGTGTGTGTGGTGTGCGTGGAGTGTGTGTGTGTGTGTGTGTGTGTGTGTAGAGGACATGGTAGAATTGCTCCTGTGGATTTCCAAGACTAACTCTATGGGAGTAGAAAGCCTGATCTTTCTCATGAGACCAAGACGCCATGTTTCAATTCACTTCAGCAACATGATGAAGCCTGAAAGCCACCCCACAGAACTTGCGGGGCAGGGGGCCTGTAGGCTGGATTGGGGTGGCAGCAGCAGGGGCTTGAAGGAAATAACCAAGTGGGGGCAAGGCTGCACCGGCTCTTCCAGCCTCCCACCTCCAGGGCCACCGGGTGCCCCCTCCTCCTCGACTGCTGTCCTCCAGTTCCAACCATACCTCCCCTCCCCTGGGGACCTGACCGTCCAATTCCATTCAGCCTGGCTCCTCATGTCCTCCCCCAGCAGTGTGTGGTCCCTTGCCTCCCCCTGCTGCCCTTGGCCAGCTCGGCCCTGGCCCCTAGCCCCACACCTACCTACTCAGGGACCAGGGAGCACCCTGTGACCTGGGGCCATGGAGTCTCCAACATCTGGTACATGCTGCTGCCAGCTGGCTTTGGAGGAAGGAGCTCAGCCAAGGACACATAGGATAGTGGGGGTCTCAACTGGGGTGTGGGTTTCCGTGGTCACTGTACCCACCAACAGGAGATGGCAGCTCCTGGGTGGTCCCAGTGTGGTTGGGTGTTGGGGAGCAGCCCCTCCTGCTGGCAGCACCCTGGTGGATGCCTGTGTTTGCCCTCCCCCCACCCCCAAGGTGGTCCAACTTTGACCGGAAGTTCCTCAGCAAAGTCCTCATGAGACGCTCAGCCCAGAAGTCCCGAGACCGGATCCTGAACGTCTTCCACGAGCTCAACCTGAAGGACGCCATCAGCTACGTGGCTGAGGTCTGCCGGGGCACTTGGCCCCCATGGGTGCTGGCGGGTGGGAACTCGCAGGGCCTGGTGGTCAAGGTTCTCCGTGACCACCTGCCCCGCTAGGTCCTCTGGCATCCCACCTGGACCTGCTCACCTGGAGAACTGAGGGCTGGGACCCTGGGGCGGGAGCTGGCTCTCAATCAGCTACGTGGTTGACTGTACAGGTGGGCCTGAGATAAGAGGCCATGTGTGTCCTCAGACCCCTGGCTGGTATCTTCCTCTGATGAGCTAGACAGGGATGGGGCCAGAGCTGCCCAGCACATGCACACACGCGCCACACCAGCACACACACACATGCACACACACTCACTTGTGCGCACACATGCACGCACATGTTTACACGTGTGCATGCACATGCTCACATGCACACATACACATGTGTGCACACACATGCTCACACATACCCCTCGCTGATTGTCTCACAGGGCGAACGCCGAGGATCCCTGGCCTTCATCCGCTCGCCCAGCACAGACAACATGGTCAACGTAGACTTCAGCACGCCCCGGCCCTCCACTGTTGAGGCCTCTGTCTCCTACCTGCTGTAGGTCCTCAGGGAGGCCTCCCTGCTGGGCCCCAACCCAGCCCTCCCCACCGCAGCCCTGAGGAATGCTGGGGGCGCAGCTTGTCCCAGGGGGTGGCAAGGAATCAAAGTCCCCGAAGCAATGCCAGAGGCCCCCTCTCTTACAGACACACCCACTCTTATTGGTCATTCCATACAGTGATGCCAGTGTTTGCAGTGTCCACAGAGGAGAGGTGGGAGGAGGGACAGGAGGATCAAGGATAGAGTAGGGCGGAGGAAAAGGAAGGCGGCCACAGGGCCAATCACCGTTCAAGGCCTGTTTTTCAGAGCCCAGGTGAGTAGTGGTTATTTGTTGGGCTGCTAACCGCCAGGTGAACTTCAAAACCACTAGCTGCTCCTCTGGAGAAAGATGAGACTTTCTACTCCCATGAAGAGTTACAGTTTTGGAAACCCACAGAGGCAGTTCCACCTTGGCCTACAGGGTCGCTCTGGGTCGGAATTGACTCTGGCTGTGAGATTTGGGGCCTGGCCTGTGGAAGGAGCCCTTGTGGCTAGTGGGCTGCTGGCCACAAGGGCATTATTTTGAACCCACTATTTGTTCTGAGGGAGGGAGCTGAGGCCGTCTGCTCCAGTAAAGACTCACAGGCCTGGAAACCTTGGGTTTTGTCTGGGTGCCTGCTCTGGGTCTACAAGGAGCGCTGGGGGTGCTAACTAGGCCTGTGGTTCAAACCCACCAGCTGGTGGGAGACAGATGGGGCTTTCTGCACACCCTATGAGTCCTTCGGGCACCTGGTCTGGCACTGCAGAGTCGTTCCCCCGCCCCCACCCCCTCCCCGGCCTGTGCCCTCTTCTGGCCTCACGAATTGATTCTGGTCTCCTCTGTACTGTGTTCACTGGGACAAGCCTCTGAGCTCCTGGCTCTTGGGCAGTCAGTCCCTCCAACGGCAGGCCTGCAAGGAGCACGTGGGGTGTCAGAGCTGACTCCTGAGGGGGCGCGGCCCCCCGTGACCTTGCAGCCATCCGCTGCCGCCTGGGGAAGCAGCCTGCGATGCGCTCCCTTTGCGCCCCCACAGACGAGAGAACGTCAGTGAGGTCTGCCTGGACATGCAGTCGCTGGAGCAGCGGCGGCGAAGCATCCGCGACACGGAGGACATGGTCACCCACCACACGCTGCAGCAGTACCTGTACAAGCCGCGGCAGGAGGTGGGCGCGGAGGCCCCAGAAGGGGTCCCTGGGCTGGGCTTTGGGGTGGAAGGAGGTTGGGGTGGGGGGAGAGCAGGGGTTCTCAGGCCGCTTTCTCGCAGTACAAGCACCTGTACAGTCGGCACGAGCTCACGCCGACCGACGATGAGAAGCAGGACAAGGAGATCTTCCACCGGACCATGCGGAAACGCCTGGAGTCCTTTAAGTCTACCAAGCTGGGCATCAACCAGAACAAGAAGGCAGCCAAGCTCTACAAGCGGGAGCGAGCGCAGAAACGGGTAGGGGTGGGGCCTCAGTCTGAGGGGCGGGGCCTCAGGAGACTGAGGGGCGGGGCCTCAAGGGGGCGGGATCTTAGAGGAGAAGCAGTCTGAGGGGCGGGACCTCAGAGGAGAGGTGAACTGAGGGGCGGGGCCTCGGAGGAGAGGAGGTCTGAGGGGCGGGGCCTCGAAGGGGCTCTGGAGGCAGCGGTAGAGGTCAGCAGAGGGCTCCGCGGGTCATCACAAGGAAGGAAGTGATCTGGGAGGTGGCGGCCAGCGCCGAAGGGCAGGGTCAGCCGGGGCCCTAGCAGGTGGGGAGGGGGCGGGACTGGAGGCAGCGGGCGGCCCCTGGCTCACCCACCGCCTCTCTGTCCGGCCGCATCACAGAGAAACAGCAGCATTCCCAACGGCAAGCTGCCCCTGGAGAGCCCCCTGCACAACTTCACCATCAAGGAGCGAGGTAAGCGCGGCCCTGCGCTCGCCCTGCCCCTCGGGGAGGGGCTTCTCTGCCGCTCTTGGGTCCGCGTCTCCGTAGCCCTCCGCGCAAGGTCACTCCCCAGCCTCCTCCTGGCCCCGTGGCCCCGGCTCTCCCCTCAGCCTCCTCAGGCCCCGTGTGGATGGGGACACCGGGACCTCAGGAGGTGTCGCCTTGCCTGGACCCTGGTCTTCTGGCGCCGCTGGCCGGTCAAGTGTGCTTTCCCCCTTGTCCCACCCCCTCCTTGCAGATGACCTGGAGTTCTCCGACCCCGAGGAGACCCAGGAGGACAGGAGCGGCGGGATAGAGTTCCTGGCCAACGTCACCAGGGACACCATGGCAGACTCCAGCGCAGGTGAGGGACAGGCGGGACTGCGCTCGGGGTGGGGTGAAGGGAACGGGTCCGCTGGCCGGAACCCGGCGTGGTCTGTGCACAGTTGGACAGGCCTGGGGGCTCACGGACCGCGGCCAGGGTTTGGCGCTCACGTGCTGGCCAGCTGAACGCCTCTGCCTGCCCACAGAGCCATGGGGGGCAGTCCCTGATCCACGGTGGGGGACTCTGGGACCGGGGAGCTCCTGCGTGGTCCAGCATCGGGGTCTCTGCGACGTCGGGAGGGGCGCGATGAGAGGCTGTGCTCTGGGGGCTCCGAGTCACAGTGAGAGCTCTACGATGCAGGGAGAGTCCGTGGTAGACGGTCCCGCTGTGGGGGCCTTTGCGATGGGGGGCTCAGCCCAGGTCCAGGCTGGTTGGTGCTCCGCAGGACTCGACCTCCGCTTCCAGACCGCTGCCGAACGCCGGCGCGCGGAGCCTGAGCCTCCCGCCCTCTCTTCGTAGGTGTTGACAACCCTGTGTTCTCTCCGGAGGAGGACGCGGGCGTCCTGGCCAGGGTGCCGCCGTGGCTGTCTCCCGGGGACACCGTGGTGCCCTCCCAGCGGGCGCGGGTGCAGATTCCCTGTTCGCCTGACCACTTCCGCCGCTTGTCCCCCATCCGGCTCAGCACCAAGTCTACGGGTGGCGACCCCGAGCCTGAGGAGGCGCCGCGCGCCAGGCCGCCGGAGTCCACGCACATGTAACCGCTAACGCTGCCTCCGCCCTGTCTCTCCGCAGGCCTTTCCCTCGCGCGTCCTGGCCCGAGCGAGCGTCGGCGGGACTTCCGCTCCCGGCGCCTGCCTTTCTGGGTCTCCTGCCTCTCCTTTCCTCGCAGGCGACGCTAACTGACCCTCTCTGGCCTTGGTTTCTCTAAGTCACAGGGCTTTCGCTGAGAGGGGAGCGGCTGCCCAGCACGCCGTCTTACTAGAGCTTGCCTTTAGATGGCGCCCTGCTCACCAACTACGTAGGCAGTCCATTGGAGAAAGCGGTCCTCTGGCTCGGCTCCGGGAGGGACAGGGACGGCAGCAAAGGGGGGTGCGGACCTGGGGGGCGGGGAGGACTGTTAGCTCCGGGGGAAGAAGGGACAGAAAAGGGGGAGGGGGAACGAGGAAGAAGCGGAGGGGGGAAAAGGGGAGAGAGGAAAGGGGGAGGGGGAACGAGGAAGAAGCGGAGGCGAGGAGGGAAGAGCAGGGAGTGGGGAGGAAGGGAGGAGTGGGCAAAGTAGAAGCTATGGAAGGGAGAAGAGGGCGGGGTAAGGGGTGGGGAGAGGGCAGGGACCCCAGGAGAGGCACCTTACTCAGCAGGCCACAGGCCTGCTATAGAATTTCCGCCTGGTTTTAAATGGCTGATCCAGTCTGCCTTTACTGTGTGTGCTGCCTGCCCCCCCCACCCCCTCCTTCCCCAGGTAAGGGGGTTCTAGCATCAGATGCAGGCCTTGGGTTCTCCTTCAGGATCCTGAGGGACAGGCAGGTCTAGGTGAGGGGGCGTGGAAGCCCAGTTGGGGGACCTGCAGGTGGGAGATCCCAGGCGGCCCACTTGAACAGCTATGCTGGTGCTTTCCTCTTGGGAGACAATGGACTTTCTTTCTCCTGAGCCGCTGGGTGACGCAGGGTCGGTGACACGCCTGCGCTGCACCCTCACTGGGGCCTCTGGGCACACACTCTCAGAAAGGGCCCTGGCAGGACTCTTGCTGCGCTCTGCCTGCTTGCTGTCGCCTGGGCTGGGTTTCTTCGTCCCTCTAAACTCTCCTGGTATCCCTTATCCATGGTCCGTGTGCCCAGAGAGGTACACAGATAACGTGTCTGGGGCGGAGGGCACGATATGGGCCACCCTTCTGTGAATCGGACCCCTTGTCTCTATGCTGCCAGCGTATGGTCCCAGAGCGGAGGGTGGGGTGGATTTGGACCAGGTTGGGGAGACCCGCTTGCGGTGGCCCCCTATAAGTCTCCCTGTGGCTGAGCACCCCACCAGGGGGGCTTGCCAGGACCCAGCTATAAGGGCCAAGGAAGGCACAGAGACAAGCCGGAAGGCCCGTGCCCCCAACCCACTCCACGCCTGCCATGCTCTGGTCCGCAGGGTGAGACCCTCACAAGTCCGGACCCTGTGCCCTGGTGAGGATCCGCGGCCCGCAGCCGCTCTGCCCCATGCCTCCTGCAGGCGCGCTGGGGGCGTCCCGGGAGTCGCCGCCGCCCACTCGCTGTCCTCTCGCAGGTGACACGGGATCCGACGTGCCGCTGACTGGTCATTCCTCCCCGCGCGAAGAGC